TATGGGTTGTACTCACGTGACTTTCTTGAAATAATGAGGCTCTAACCAAAGCAGCATACATAGTCATTTCTTAATACGTGCATGTATGTAAGACACAAAACAATATTAAGATGGAGTCAGAGCTAAGCTGACAGATAAACACTCGTGTTTACCACAAAGAATAATCATTTGTTAGCTGGAGGAGTGATTATGTGGCTCTTTCATTCTGAAAGCATTTGAGCTTCCTATTTAGAATTTGTGAATATAGGAATTCAGACCTATTATTACTGACCGTCGGGGACCATCATTAGAGCTAAGGATAGGAGTAGCAGATAGCCTCAGTGAAAGAAAGATGCTCTTTGTTCATCTCATTTACCCGTAATAACGTTCCATTAACCTAAGTCAAATGACTTAGGTTAAAATGTAGCTCTATTGGTCAGATGGTAATTTGTGTACCATCATTTACACTATTGATTTTTTTGTGTGTTTGTTTCTTTTTAGAATTGTGATAATTTACATGAGGATCTCTATGTGATCCAGACTCATGATTCACACACATATATACCAGCTTGTATTTGTTAAAGTTTGTGGACCAACAAATGCCAATAAATGCTGAAACGTTGACAATGCTATTTCCCAGCTTAGCTGGCTTACTCAGTGAGCTTGGGCTATTATCAGGGGCTGATTGCTTTATTCAATGGCATTTTCAGCCTAGAGAAGTGAACTTGGAAATGTTTGCATAGCATGTTTTGCTTGCTTTCTCTCTCTTCCATCCTTGGGTCCCTCCAGCTCCCTTAGTAGTACTTTTTCCCCTGAACTAAATCCCCGAGGCAAAGTATATAGCCCAGAAGCCAGGGCTGGGAGACCTGTGGCAAAGTAGAGAGCCCAAGATAGAGGATCTCAGGGGAACGTGCTTGGCCTGGGGACGCCACTGGGAGCAGCATGGGACTGTGGATTTGTGGGACTAGAAGGTCAGAGTGGATCAACGCGTGACAGTAGGCAGCAGGCAGAAGTCAGCACACAGGAATCTCAGGGTTTGGTGGAAGTGATGTGAGAAGACAGCGCTAAAAGAAAGAATAAGGAAAAGTCCAGTCACATCAGGCATCTGTCGGCAGAAGTGGAGAGAACTGTGACACCAGCTGGGCAGCAAACTTGGGACATCAGAATTTCTTTGGCGTTTTAGTGCATGTTGTGCGCTAGGCAAGAAGCTTCTTAGACATTCCCCGTCTGGTTAGGCCCCAGGCCCTGGGTATGGGCCCCAAGAACCCACTCAGAAAAGCAGGTCGTGGGTGTATCTGCCGGGAAGAGAAAAGGAGGTGGCCTGGGCGGGTCCTGACACCTGAGGAGGGATGTTAAGGACATGTGTCAGCAGAGGCATAATTAGCACTTTGCTGAGCACTGTGGATTCCGTGACTCACAGGCCTTGGTGTAACACATCCTCTTCCTGGCAGTGAAACCACCCGGCCAGGGCTGGGAATGAGTGTGGGCTCCTAATATGTCCGCTCCATTCCACATTACATCTTCTGTGGGTTATCAAAGCTCTGCACTGGCATTTCTCTGCCTAGTAACCCAGAAGGCAGGGTTGACGAGGCTTATGCTATCAAGAGGGTAAAGATTCTTCAATTCCAAAGTGGCTCAGTTTGCCTTCTGTATAAAAACCTCAGTTCTCTCTCTCTCTCTTTTTTGCTATGACAAACTTTAAAAAAAAGTAGGTCTTTTTGCAAAGGAATTACAGTATACAGTACAGTATACAATAATATAAATGACAAATCTATGAGAAGAATGTACTTTGTGCCCATGTAAATAGTTTTGTATATTACACACATTTAGGTATGTGAGAAACACATGCATGCATGTAGTCTAAGTACATACACACATCTGTAAATTTATATTGCTTAGGAATTTCTGAGAATTAGGAGACTTCAATTATGAATTGTTTTTAACTCAGTGTTTTGGTCCCTTTTAAAAGACATAGTATGAGATTACTATGTCTATTTTAATTTTTATTTATATTATGAAATTAGATCAGTTTACAGGGGAGAAGAACTCATTAACCTAAAAATCCCCTTTATGTCTTTTCAGACTCATTTCTGATCCTACGTCTATTTGTCAGTATATTTAGTTTTTAACTTAAATTGTTTCATATATACATTTGAGTGTAGTGATTTGATTCACTTAGTGTTTATTTTTAATAGCTTTATTGTATGGTGATGTAACATTTTCATTATGATCCTCTTATTATTGACTGACTGAGTCAATGGTGTTTTTATTTTTCATTATTGAAAATATCATTGGTGTGAACCTTTCTTAACAAATTATTTTTAGATTGTTTCCTTGGGGCATTTTCCCCAAAGTGAGATTACCAAGTCAAAGGGCAGGAGTAATATTATAGCTTCAGTTACATATTGCCAAATTGTTTTCCAGAAAGATCGAGCTATTTTGTGCCACCACTAACAGTATATAAAGCACAGTTTCAATTTTCAACAGTTTAGACAGTCTGAGCACACATGAGAAGTATAATTACATTTCTACTCCGAGGCCTACCTGTATGTAGATAGCTCTCATAAGTAAACTCAGTATGTGGACTTTGAAATTAGGGCACTGATGAAGTATGTTACTAATTTATTCTTCAGAATGTGGAGCCTTGAAGGTAGAGCATTTGGGGCTGGAGAACATGCGTATTGAGGTGGCCCCTTTTGGAAATGTGCGTTACTGTGGTCCCACACCAGAAACTGCCAAGGCCAGAGCAGAGGGAAAGGACAGCCAGGCCCCAGCATTTCTGCCAGTGAGGGTTTCTGCTGGTGAGGTCCTCAGGCCTCTGAGGAATTCTGGAGGACTTCTGGGAAGTTGGGGGAGGTGGGGAAGGGGTGAGTTCTGGAGTCTGGCACGCCTTGAAGGAGAGGGCTTGTCCAGTGGGTACACTGGGGCCACCGGTCCCTGAGCCCTGTTCCACCCAGGTAGCTGCTCACTGAAGGCCTTTCTCATTGGACATGCCAACTTGGGTGTTGGAGTGATTTTTTCCTTTGTGACAGCATTATTAATTTCATAATGCAGGTTGGTAGAGATGACAGATTCTGTGGAAATCTATTCATCCTGGATACACTTGCCTGGTCTATAAAGGCTCTTTGCCTCATTTCTGACAGGGGAAAATCTCAGACCTTTTCCAGAGGAATACATTTTTCTCATTGCTCATGCATGCTGACATAGCGTTGTACCTTTGCCAGCTTCCCCAGTGACTTGCAAAAATTCTATAACCTAAATATAGGCCACGTAAAAGCACGTTATAGAACTGGGCCAGGAGGGTACAGCAGTTCAGGAAGGCAGAAAGGACCAAAGATCAAGTCATTGATAAGGTTTCGCATTGTCTCAGATTACGTGTATACATTTTAAAGGAAGTAAACTGAATGGATCTTATCCTAGAAATTCCAAGTCATATGGTTGCATGGGAGTTGAGATGAAAAAATTGTTTTAATTTCTAGGTCCCAAGATGGAAATAATCTTGATGGACAGAGAGAGGTAGGAAGCATTCAGTAGTCAGCAGAGAGAAACAACAGGGTTGTCACGTGACCTAACTGGGATTTATGTATATTTTTACCATCAACTGATTTTTTTTCTTCTGGTGGTGAAATGTATATACAAAGATTTCCGTCTTAACCTTTCTTACGTTTCCAGTTCAGTGACGTTAAACAACATATGCAACCATCACCACTATTTCCAAAACTTTTATTGCCTCCATCAGAGATTTGCTATGTTAGGGATTTATTTTGTAATTGGTCATGTCAGAAATTTTTCTGGTTTAAAAAAATGCAGAGTTCAAAACCTTCATTTTATTTTATTTTTTTTAGTTTCAGCATATGCCATTCTGCTAGGTATGTGTCCCACATTCATCAGTTTCCTTTCATCCAACCTAATCTTGCAGGCGTGATAGACGAAGGTGCCCATACAAATAGAAGGGGGAGAGATGTTCGGTCAAGGACGTGTGAGGAGCTGTGTTCCCTGTTGGAACCTCCAAATCAACTCTGTAGAAGAACATGGGCAGATTTAAATTAGTTTTAATAAATTAGTCTTAAATAAATCTAATTATTTAATGTACTTTAAAATTAAAAAGCAATATTACATTCTTGACAGTTCAGAAAAAATTTGAGAACTTGTCATGCCTTTGAACACAAAAATAATAATTATTTTTCCATATTTCTTTTTTTTTTCTTTTTTTTTAAGATTTTTTTTTAAATTTATTTGACAGACAGATCACAAGTAGGCAGAGAGGCAGGCAGAGAGAGACAGGAGGAGGAGGCAGGCTCCCTGCTGAGCAGAGAGCCCGATGCGGGACTCGATCCCAGGACCCTGAGATCATGACCTGAGCCAAAGGCAGAGGCTTTAACCACTGAGCCACCCAGGCGCCCCTATTTTTCCATATTTCTTTTTGATTTTTCTTCACATACATGTTTTTGATACAGTTGATAATGATGGATCTAACCATATATAAATGACTTTTCATCTGTTATATCACTCACAGTTTTTCATTTTGCTTAGTGGTTTTTATAATAAAGGCTTATGAATGGATGTAACTTAATTTTTTTAAACATATGATCTTCTTTGACATTTAGGTTGCCAAAATTTATAACTATTATAAATGAACATCTTCAAACACATGCTTTCTATAGTTTAACCACTTCATCTTATCATGAGAGAGACAAACACAGGATTCATAGTTATCTTCTTTTAAAAAGATTTTATTTATTTATTTGAGAGAGAGAGAACATGAGCAGGGGTGGGGAGTGGCAGAAGAGGCAGAGGGAGAAGCAGACTCCCTGTGGACTCGATCCCAGTACCCTGAGATCATGACCTGGGCCAAAGTCAGATGGTTAACCGATTGAGCCACTCAGGCACCTCTTCATAATTTACCTTATTGTGGGCCATGGCTCCTCATTTCCCATGAAGATATGACACAGTCCGTGGCGGTACGTTTTTGTAATGATGGTAAACACGAGGTGGATGACAGATGTCTGCATTGGTTGCAGGTTGTGAAGATCTTAGAGAAGCATGACCCGTTGAAGAACACCCAGGCAAAATACGGGTCCATCCCTCCAGATGAGGCCAGTGCTGTACAGAATTATGTAGAACACATGCTCTTCTTGCTGATCGAAGAGCAAGCCAAGGATGCTGCGATGGGGCCAATTCTGGAATTTGTGGTCTCAGAGAACATCATGGAGAAGCTCTTCCTTTGGAGCCTGCGGAGGGAATTTACTGATGAGACTAAAATCGAGCAGCTCAAGATGTATGAGATGTTGGTCACCCAGTCCCACCAGCCTCTGCTGCACCACAAGCCCATCCTGAAGCCCCTGATGATGTTGCTGAGCTCTTGTTCGGGAACAACCACCCCCGCCGTGGAGGGGAAGCTGGTTGTCCTGCTCAATCAGCTTTGTTCCATCCTTGCCAAAGATCCCTCTATCCTGGAACTCTTCTTCCACACTAGTGAGGACCAAGGGGCCGCCAACTTCCTCATCTTCTCCCTTCTGATTCCCTTCATTCACCGAGAGGGGACAGTAGGTCAGCAGGCCCGGGATGCTTTGCTGTTCATCATGTCCCTGTCTGCCGAGAACAGCATGGTGGCCCATCACATTGTGGAGAACACCTACTTTTGTCCAGTAAGTCCCTCTCATTGGTGTGCTTTCCATCCACTCCCCTTTTCCTCTCCTGTGCTACTGGTAAATACTTTTTCTACTCCTTTCTTTTCAAGTTGTCCTTGGTACCTTCTAAGGGAAGATGTTTGCAGGAAATCTTTTGGAGGGAGCAGGGGAATCTAAGTTGAGACGCTATTTGGCTGAGCATTGTCAGCTCAAAATAAGCCAGCAGAGGAAACTATATGTGTTACCATTTCTTGTGTCATTTCTGTTGGATTAGGAATGATTTTAGTTTTTTTCCAAGAGCGTATCCTGAGAGATCGGTGAAACCGGCACTTTCTGTATTCCTGCTTTTCAAGTCGATTTTGCACCCTACCTAGAATCATGGCATGCGGTGAGCCCGCTCAGCTGGTTTCACAAATTAATTTGTTTCTCAGCAAGATAATGACCATAATCGTAGATACAAAACACCGGTTCTATTTTTAAAAATAAACACATATTTACAGTTCGAGGGAGCAGAAAATCTGCTACTCTGTACAGTTTCCTGATCATCAGCCTGGTGAGAAAGAGAGCACAAGGTCCTTGGCAGACGTTACCATGCCTGGTGGTCCAACCATGGTCACAGGTCCACAAAGGAATGGGAGCCGTCTGGGACCCCGAAGATACTTCAGGGCTCTGATTAGTTTTTTTGTGTCAGTGTTGTCTTTAGAAGGGGGGTTCAAATGGCAGATTTATATCTTCTGATTTGTTGGAGATGTTGGACAATAGCTCTTTTCATATTCCCTGCTCAGTGAACACTGTCTAGTCCACTGGCTTTTCTTTTATCATCACCTCATGGCACTCCTTGATAAACTATATCATCTTGAGTATGCCTGCTTCTGCTGGAATCTTAGGGCCTTTAATTAGTTTATTAACAGGCCAGCAAGTTGCCACAAGTAGATTAGATTCATTATTAACAAAGGCTGTATGGGTAGTTCTTGAATGGGGAGAGGGCAGTTGGGAATGTTTGTGGGGCATGCTTTGTTGTCACAGGGGCATGAGGTGGCCACGGAGGGAGGTCAGCTAGTGCTTAGTGGGCAGCGACCAGGGATGCTCCGTGTCTGGTAATTTGTGGAACAGTCGTGCACAGTAAAGAACAGACTTGCTCAAAATGCTCATAGCAACCCTAGTGAGTAATGCACTCTGTTTTGCTTTGAGGTTCAAAAGCAGTAATCTTCTTTATGCTACTAAATTCTTATTTTTACTGGTGAATATTTATTTTGGGCAAACAAATGGGTAAAAATTTTGAAAAGCAGAACTTCCGTTAAGAAATTCCAGGTACCGGGGTGCCTGGGTGGCTCAGTGGGTTGAGCCTCTGCCTTCAGCTTAGGTCATGATCTCAGGGTCCTGGGATCGAGCCCGCATTGGGCTCTCTGCTCAGCGGGGAGCGTGCTTCCTCCTCTCTCTCTGCCTGCCTCTCTGCCTACTTGTGATCTCTGTCAAATAAATAAAATCTTTAAAAAAAAAAAAAAAGAAATTCCAGGTACCATGCATCTCTTTTGGGTTCTGATGAGTAGAATTAGAAATTGTACAAAGATTGATAGTCAAACGAGAAGGAAAGAACCAATTCCCTTCATGTGTGCCAATGTAGTAAATGTCCCTTCCTTACTGCCTTCAGTGTTGTAGTTTCTTATGGACTCTTTTTAAAGAATATATTGTAGGTAAAAATGGGACTTCTCACTTGAACCTAAGCATCTTTGGAGTAAACTGCTGTATTACTTTTCTATTTCTGCTGTAATAAATTACTTTAAACAAGACAGATTCATTATCTTACAGTATTACCTTACTGTAGGTTAGAAGTCCAGCAGGTCTCACTGGGCTAAAATTGAGGTATCAGCAGGGCTATGCTCCTTTCTGGAGGCTCTCATGGTGAGTGTATTTCCTTGCCTCTTAACTAAATCTAACAAATATATGAAAATTTTCTATAGAGAAAATTATAATAAAACTTTATTGAAGGGCATAAAAGCAGACCTAAATGAATGGAAAGTTATTTAGTTTGTAGGTACCGTGTAGATGACACTTTCCCTGCAAATCAATCCATAAGGTTAGTGCCATTCATGTTTTACAACTTTTTATTACGAAAAAAAGTAAAATACAGAAAACTTGGAAGAATACTGAAATGAACACCACATAAACACCACTTACATTCGAAATTGTTATTATTTGTGTTTATCATCTATGCTTTTGGGTTGTGCTGTACCATTTGAAATGACGATACAGACATTTGGAATTAAGTTATAGACATCAAATACTTTTGTATGTATCTCCTACAAATGAGAGCACTTGCCTACATAACCACAGTACCATGATCACACCTCAGAGAACTATGCAATAATTCCAAATGTGATCTAATATCTATTTTCTCAGTTATGTCCCAAGTGGTTTTTATAGGTTTTTTTTTTTTCCCCCCAACTGGAGTCCAGTACAAGGTGCATTTCTAACCTGTTGTATGTCTAAGTCACTATTGCTCTATAATAGCGCCCATTTCTTCCTCCCTGACACTGACTTTAACAGAACCACCGTTGTCTTGTTGAATGCCCCACATGCTCTGGGGTTGTTTCTAACGTAGTTTTACTTGTCCCTATCCCCTGTATGTCCTGCAAGTTGGAAGTTAGGTCTAAGTGCTTGATTAGGTTCAGGTTAAGTTTGTAAGAATACATTATGGGTGATGTGGTACACTTCTTACTGCATTGTATCAAGAGGCACGTGCTGGGTGGTCTCCCTTTTGTGATGCTACATTGGTCACTTGATTAGTTAAGGTGATGACCACTGTATCTTTCCGGGTAAAGGTAACACTTCCCCTCTGCAACTGTAAGGTGTAGTTTGTGAGGTGTTAATGTGACTTAAATCAAAATTCCAATAGGGTTCTTCATGAAACATGACAAATCAGTGCTAACAATCATATAAATATGTGTACAAGACCAGGAATAACATAATTATGAAGAATGGTACCAGCAATATATTTGTTGAGAACTTACTCTATGCCAGATACTATTCTTAGTGATTTATATGTATTAAATCATCTTATTCTCACAACTGTGGGTACGAGTGTTACACCCTTTTTATAGATCAAGAAATTGAGGCACAATGATATGAAGTAAGTCTATACAAGGCCACATGGCTAGTAAGAGAAAAGGTCAGGATCTGAACCTGGGCAGTCTGGCTTTAGGACCCATGTGCTTAACCACCACTTTGTACCTGGGTAGTAAAATATCAAGACATCCGATAACGCATGAGCCATAACGAAATGACTGGAATTAAGAACAGAAACACAGACTGGGAGAAGGATACTTGCAACACATGTAACTATAAATGGTTGGTGCTCAAAATACACAAAAATAATTGTAATGCTACCAGTTAATAAGAAAACGATGAAGCAACCCAATAGAAAACCGGGCAAAGGGTATGCAGGGCCAATTCCCAGAAGATGCTCAAAGCCGATAAACATATGAAAATATGCTCATCTTCCCTAGTATCAGGGAAAGTGCAGATGGAACCTGCAGTGAGACACCAGGTAATGCTCATCAGGGTGGCTAACTGTTGGATGTCTGGTAACACCAAATGTTGTCGAGGGGGAGGAGAAACAGGAACTCTTGAGAATATAAAGTGATACAATAACTCAGGAAAGCTTTGCTAATGTTTAATAAGATGGGATACTTGCATACCATGTGATCCTGCCTCTTTACTTCTTGTTATCTGCTCTAGGGAAATCTGGCACACAGATATACACAAAAGGACATTCAGTAGACTAGAGATTTGAGGAAGAGCAAAATAGAAATATATTAAGGAAAAAAATAAATGAACTGGATTATTCTGTGTCAGTGGAGTACTACTCAGGATTCCAAATGAGTAAGTCACATGATTAGCATGTAACTATACTACATGTGTGAATACCAATAATCTAAAAAACATGTTGAACAGAAAAAATAGCAAAAGGTTTCATACAGTATGTTAGTATTTACATAAAGCTACATATAGTTTGAACTCACAGAATCTTTGTGTATACTGTTTTGTTATGTTTTTTTGATATGTATGTATACAGCAAAAGTATAAAACAAAGCACCAGAATAAATTACACTAAGGTCAAAATTGTGGTTATTTTGGGGGATGAAGGAAGGAGAAGAGATGGTAATGGGATTGGAGTAGGGTTTAGCTCTATTTGTAATGTGCTTTTTTGGGGGAAAAATAGAGTGTTCCAAAGACATTATGACAAAATATTAAAATCTGTTTAATCTTGGGAGAGGTTTTCTATTTTGTTTTATATGTTTATGGTATTTCGTACTTCAAAATATAAATGTGTTAGGAGAAGAATGGAGGATGTTTTCAATGTTAGGATATCCACTTATTATGTATTATAAGCAGATTTCACCGAGTAATTGTTGCTTTTATAAAAACATGTTTTGGGGCACCTGGGAGGCTCAGTCAGTTAAGCATCTGACTCTTGATCTCAGCTCAGGTCTTGATCTCAAGAGTTGTGAGTTCTGGCCTCTTCGTTGGGTTCCATGCTGGGTGTGGAACCTACTTACAAACAAACAAAAACAAACAAACAAAAAAAAACCCAGGTGTTTTAAAACACCACACAGTTCATTAAAATTGAAGAGAAAACAACAGCTTCAGCTGACCTTATTTTCTAGAATGGAACACAGAGCTTCGTTGTGGTAAGTTGCGCCTCAGGATAGATCCCATAATCTCATTTATACCTAGTTTTCTATAATTACATCAGACAACATAATTAAAAAAAAAAAAGAACTCTTTATGTTGAAGATAAAAGCGTACTCTGTTAGTTATCCAGCTAAGGACCACAATTGACAAAAAGCTTTCTCTAATTAGTATGGTTGTCAAAGTGTGTTACCATCAGGCTTTGGGAAGAGTAATGGCTCTTTCAGAAAACTGGACCACTTTTGGAAACTTCTGTGGTTGTAGTAGATAGGAAAGTCTTGTTAAGCTGCCTCTACTGTCAAGACGTGCTCTCCTAAGAAAAGGAGATTGAGAATACTCTGGGGAACAATGTAGGGCCAACAAATGATTGGCAACTCAGTATGACCCTGTGATTTTGGATTTTTTTGGCCACATATTGGTGATTATGCCCTCATCACTTGTTACAGATTGGCCAAAGTAGAAAGCCGCTTATACATAAACCAAGAAACGCAAATTGAAGTAAGCAACCTGTAGGCACACAGCCGCTGATAGAAAGTTATTTATCCCATACCCCAAATTTATGAGGCCTTTTTATTTTGGCAAGTTGCATCAAATGATCCCCACCAGCTGTTCTGCCGCTAGCTTCAGACTAAAGCCATCTGCTGAAAATCTTTTTCTTTTGCTAAAATTAACCGGTTACCATTGGATGTTTCAAGTTAAAGATGGACGTTCCCTGAATTGTTCAGCCCTCCGTGCATGTCCTCTTTCTTACCTCCACTGGAAACACTGCGGTGCGTAAGCCATGATCCCTGTCTCAGCTCATGCATTATTTTCTTTAGTGCTTGCATTAGCACACTGAAGAATTGGAACCCTGGGACCCTCTGTGAATGGCAGAGTCGGGTTTGAAACCCTTAAGTCTGATACTAAAATCCACAGTCTCAACAAGTACCGTACTCATCTGCTGTCAGAGAAGGACTTTTAAACTGTTGTTAACCGTAGGGTATTATATGGTGTTTAGTTTTCTTTTAAGGATGCCTTTGAGAGAAGATAAGTTGGAAACACCGAGTTAACATTTAATGGGCTAGGAATAAATATGTTTTACAATTCTTTTGTATGTGCTCAGGATCCAATAAAAGGTTCAAATAGTGGATAGACATTTATTTATTTATTTTAAAAGATTTTATCTATTTGAGACAGAGCGAGTGTGCGCACAAGCAGGGGGAGCAGGAGAGGGAGAAGCAGACTCTTTGCTGAGCAAGGAGCCATCTTGGGGCTCAGTCCCAGGACCCTGGGATCATGACCTGAGCTGAAGGCAGACGCTTAAGCAACTAAGCCACCCAGGCGCCCCATAGACTTTTTACTTTTAACTAAATGTTCAGTGTCCTTATATTTTGAAAATTTCAGTTAAAAGGGAAATTTAGAAGGAAGTAGATTGTGCCATCACTCTGCTGGGAAAATGATCCACAAACCTGGTGTTGCCTCTCTTTTTCCCTTGTCCCATGCCCACAGCACCCTCTGTGTCCCTCTGTGGAGCAGTGGTCTTTCCAGTCGTCTTTATTCATTCTGTGGCTGTTTTCTCCAGCTCACCTGCTCTGACCTGTTCTCTGCTCACTCCCCAGCACCAGCCATACATGTTGCCTCGCTCACAGTCGCTCTTCTAGAAATACTTGTGGGTGGGGTGAATGAATCTGAACTCTGAGCAGAGTCTTGGAAAGGGAGATATAAATATTTAGCAGTCAAGATTTGGGATCTTGTTCTTCAAACTATGTCATACTCTGTTCGGCAGACTCTTTCCTTCCCTGTTTCTCTGCTGTTCTGAAAGCAGCACAGTTACCCTCTAACTCCACTTTGCGGAGGTGAGAACTTGGCAGGACTCTGTGTCCGGCTGTCGTGCAGCACTGTCCTGCACAGGCAGGCTTCCCCTTGCATCTCAGCCATGCCCTTTTCTGAATACTCCTCTAAAGAAGTGAATATTAGGTATATGTTATTTTTAATTACTGTCAGTGATGTATGTAATTTGAAAATTAATGTCACTGTAATTATATTGATATACAGAATAGTGATTCCCAGCTTTTGAGTCAGGCAAATTAAGCCTGTCTTTATGAATTCATCTTCAAAGCCTCAAAGTGGTTAAGGAATCGAAAGTATGCAGAATTAAAGCCTTTGTACTGCGGTTAATTTAGCATGAGTTAGCAAATGTAATTGATTTTTAAAATGTGACATCAAGATTAGATTTCCCTGCAAGGAGAACTCTCAGTCTGTGTTCCTTCTTGCCAGAGGCTCCAAATTTATAACTGGCAACTCACCGGGGTCACATTCAAAACGAGAATTAAAATGATTTGTTTGGGTATGTTGACAAGGAGTTAAATACTTTAAACAGAGGGCATTGTTCTTTGGGACCACAGATGCCCGACTGAAAAAGAGATCAGTGCACCATCTTGTTTACTGTTCATTTCCTGTACTTTAACATAGGATCTGGCCTGAAGGTGTTCAGTTTGTTTTGAGTGAGTGAATGCGTGCGTGAATAAAGGCCACTAGCAAACACAGAAATGTATATAATCTTTGAATTTCTCCCATATTGAAATGGTTTGTCTGTTTTTCTCACGGCTCCTCATACGCCACTGGGGGCTTCTATTCCATATCGGGCCCTCCCCCATCCACCTCTCTCCGATGGCGTCAGCCAGTTTCCCTACATGAAGACCTCCAGATTCTCAGTCTCCAGGCCTGTACTCTGTTGTCGAGTGGGATGTATTACTCATGGCAAGTCCTGCTAGCGTCTGATGTTCAGTATACCTGACTGGACAGATCAGCCACACCTCCACACATTCTTGTGTGGACAAGAATGAACAAGTCAGACCAGCTGAGCTGGAGAAGATGGCCAACAAACTAAATGCAAGAAGGACCACTGCTCCACAGAGGGACACAGAGGGTGCTGTGGGCATAGGACAGGGACTAGGAGAGCAATGATGAGTTTGCAGAGAATTTTTCCAAGTTCAACTGCCTGTTGCCACACTTCTTTCTGACTGTTTCTGATGCCAAACACTGGATTATTTGGTTTTATCTCATCTGTCTGAGTCTCCCTTCCTTCCTCTCTCTGGTCTCTATGGGCTTGAGGTGCCATCTACATATGGATGGCTCCGGATATCCACCTCTAGTCCATATCCCTCTCCTAAGCATCAGAGGCACGCATCTGTCCAGTGGGCTCCCCACTGCAGTATTCCTCACGCTCTTTTCCTAGGCCTTCAAAACCCTGCGGGATCCGACTCCTGCTTACCCTGTCTAGTGCTATTTCTGCTCCTATGTTCCAATAGTGCTGCCCTTCTCTCAGTTCCTGGAAGGTGCTGTCTTTTCTTACTACTTGGAGCTTCTGTATGTCTTCCACTTGGAACAGTGCTCCCTCCAAGATGCTTTTCTGGGTTCCCTCCTATTTATTCTTTGCAGCTTGGACAGCACTTCTGAGAACATTTCCAGCTCCCAACCCCGCAGGTCTAGGGTGAGGGTCTCTTGTATATCCACGGCGCCCTTTTTTTTCTATTACACATTCGGAGTACTTATCGCACTCCTGTGATTGGCCTGTTCATCTCTTGCTAGGCTGTGAGATCAATGAATACATCACCCTTTCTTTTCTGGGCCAGACTCAGGATTGAACATTTCCTTGAATGTTTCAGTCTGATTTGAGTTCTTCATAACCTTAGGGTTTACCATGAAGCCATGCTTCTTACAGATCCCTGCCCTGCCTCCCTTCTGTGCATCTCCTGCCCGTGCTCGGCGTGGCCGCCAGTTGGGGTCTCGAGGGTGCGGTTTGCTAGCACCACTTCCCAGGTGGGAGGCCTCTAGGGCTATGAAATTCATTGTTTTCCTTGGTCTTATACTCTGTTAGGTAGAATTGACAGGTACCCAGTGAAAGTGTGTTTCTTCCCTACAGCTCTTTGTTAAAGGCATCACCGCTTTCTTCAGGACCAAGCTGGGTGACCTGACAGATTCGAGGTCTCATTCACCCTCACTTATGTAGCCCAAATGCTGGAAGTTTCATGCTGGCAACGAGGGGGGAAGGAAACCCCATGAGCTTTGGGTTCTTACTGGATTGACAGAGGCCTCGCTAGGGCACCCTCACAGCCACCTCCCACGTGATACGCAACTTCACTTCCTGCTCTCTTGTCTTCGGGCTGGTGCTTCCACTTAGACCCACCTTAGCTCTGTGTGAACAGTCATCGTCACCTCTGATGCCTGACCCCCTCTTCTTCCTGCTATCATTTGTGCAATCACAAATGCTGGATTTCTAGACGGTAAACATGCATGTATTGGTCATGACCTTTCACAAGTCTGCAGTCATCTTTCTCAGAAAGCTTCTGGTGGTTCAACCTGTGGGCTCTTCCGTCATGGGCTGCCTCTGTCTAGGGCTTCCTCCCAGGCCTTCTGGCTTTGCTCGCAGTGTGTTGCACCATTGTGCATTGTTCGTGGGTCTGCCTCTCTCTGGAACACCTTGGGGGCAGAATCATGTTGTCTTCATCTCTGCGTGTATGTCCCTCACTCCCCACACCCCCTAGCCCGTCATATGCCTGGCAAAGAAGAGATGAGCAAGCCCAATTAACTATGAGCGTATGAGCCAGATCCCTCCAGTGCCACGATGTCCTCTGCTGGAGTCGTCCTGCCCTGCTGTCCCCACCCGTTGAATCCCTCCCAGCTAGCTGAGGCCTTGCTGCTTCGAGCGTGGGCTTTGGACCAGTGGCATGCTCATCCGCTGGCAGCTCTTGGCTGTGGGCTAAGAACTTTGGAAAAGGGCTTATGTTGTGTTTGTGAACACAGGTACTTGCAACCGGGCTCAGTGGTCTCTACTCTTCCCTGCCTACCAAGCTGGAAGAGAAGGGTGAGGAGTGGCACTGCCTTCTGAAAGACGACTGGCTCCTGCTCCCTCCTCTCGTCCAGTTCATGAACTCCCTGGAGTTCTGCAACGCCGTCATCCAGGTACCGGAGCACCGCCAAGGAGCCCTTGGTTCTCTCCGTTCAGAATGGGAGCGGTGTAAAAAAATGAGTTTATCAGCACTCCTTTTAAAAATGTTCATGTCTGTGGAGTAGTGGTGCTTTCTTTTAAGCATACTGAATGTCCTTGGATGAAGAAAAAAATGTTAGTTTACAGGTTTGGGGAAGTTTTAATTGAGGAAAAAAAATGAGTGGATTTTCTTTCTCCTCCTCATAAAAAGTGTTAATTCTGTTTTGATTATCCACTTAACCATCAAAAATAAGTTCAGTGCTTGACTCATTAAATAGATATTTTTAGGCTTCTAAGTACGCCAAATTATACCACTCTTACTTCAAGGTCTTCTTGGGAGTACACAAAGGAAAACACTTTATTTTGCTTAATGGTGCATACCACATAAAGAATATTGTTATCCCAATTGAATTTAGACGAAGTTAAGCATCTTCTTAGCAGCACAAATTAAATCTGTGCTTTAAAATTGGTCTGCTTCGGGGGAAAAAAAAAAAAAAACAACCACTGAACTCTAGTGTATTTGGCTTCTTGATTAGATTTTTACCTTCAGATTTCTTGTTAGTTTTTCAATAAAAATCAGATTTTATATATAGTTAAGGATGTAGTGGTTTTTCATAAAAAATGTTTTATTTCTATACAAATGCATATTGCCTTCATATTGGATTTATTAAGAAATCAAATTTTCTTTATGTTGATTATAAGGTGAAAAATGTTAGTTATAATCTGTTTATCTACCAGATAAAGAAATAGCTTCTGGAAGAAAATGCAAGTAAATTACTTTAGTTCCTATCTCATTTTTATTGCTAAGTCAAAGGAAGTTTTATTTATATAAGATAAATGGATTATATCTTAAGGTTTTTTTCCCCTTTAATATTACAGTCTATCAACATTTCTTGCAGAAGTGTGTGGAAATAAAAAAGATGAAACTATTAGTTCCTTTCCCAATGTACACACAGAGAGAGATTATCAGTAATTTAAAGATCTAGCTTTACTTCCCTAGAAATTGCTTTTCACTTTATTGTTTGATTTTATTATTTTTTTTTTTTAAGAAAGAGAAGTAAAGCTAATAGGCATGGTTAAAGGCAGAGAAATGATATATTTTATACTATATTTTGAAATCGAAGTCATATACTTCAAAGATTTTTTAAAATTTGTTTGGGGGTACCACTGAAAAGATTACTCACAAAAGATATTAGTAAAGACTTATCCATGCTAAATATATTTTAAAAATGAAATATAGGAAGTGTACTTTGGTAATGTTTTCTCCTTTTGAAAAGATTCTTATTTTTTATGATAAGAATTTCTAAATGCCTTCCTCTTCAATATAAATGATGTGTAGAAAATGCATCTTCAGCACAAATTCTTTTTGCCAGCATAATAAATGTATTGAATTATCCACTTTGACAGTTATACTTTTGTTTTTAAATAGGCACAAGTTAATTGGGACATAGATGAAGTTATAGAGCAAAATGATACTTTACAATTCGTTAACTTTAATTTATGTGTCCTTACACATATTCAGTCTATTTCTTATCTGCTTTTTTTTTAATTTGAAACTTAAAATTACCAATTTTAAAATTTGAAAGTCCAAGCTGTTTATATTGGAATAAACCATCTGAAAAAATTATGTGGCAGTTTGAAGTCTGAATTATTTTTTAACCATGGAATAAATGGCCAGAATTTGAATTTCCTTTTTGAATTTAGGATGTTCACAGAAATGTATGATTTTAAGAAGACCTAACGATGAAACTCTTTGCCTTTTTCATGACTGCCTGTTTCTCTCTTAGGTGGCTCACCCCTTGATTCGCAATCAGCTTGTCAATTATATTTACAATGGATTCTTGGTACCGGTCTTGGCTCCTGCGCTCCACAAGGTCAGTGATTGGCTGAGGCGATCTTATCTGTTGATGGTACAGGTGACGGAAGCTGAGGGTGGTGAACAGTGTAATTGACTCGATGGTGACTTTAGCCTGATTCTTCATCTCATTCCAATCATGTTCCTCAGCAATATGAAAGATCTTAATGGTGGTGACAGCTGAAGTCTGTTGGGATCTGTTTGGTGTCATAGAACACAACATCGTGGAACGTTGAGTAAGACAGTCTACCTGAGGACTGGCAAATGACTCTGACTCTTGTGTTTATGTCAGTTCATGGGTAGTAGCTTCTTGGAACCCTTTTTTGGGCTGTCCTCCTAGGCCAGGCCTGTCCTAGAGAGTGCAGGGCTTACTGTGGTGGGGAAAGGGGCCAGGATAACACAGGAGCCATGGATTTGCCATCTCCTTAATAGAACTTGACGTTTTTATAACAATTCAGTGACAGTAAAAATTAAAGTGAAGCAAGTTAAGGTCCCAGCAAAGGTTGGCTGTCTCATTAGCACCACTCTGGATTCCTTATGATGCTCTCATTTTGTATTACAAATCAACTGATAGCATTTCTGCTGTGAGCTGTCAGGAGACACCCATGGACCTAGAATTCTCATTACAAGTTTTTCTTCACTGAGTAAAGAGACACATAGAGTATTGAGTTCAGAGACTCTTCATCCAGTTAGTAGAGTTGCCGACCCTCGTAGGGAGATAAACAATAAGTCTATCACATGTTGTTTTGATGGGATGCCCACATTTCTGCACATGGAAGTACCATTTCCATGGGCTCTCATTTTACAGAATCAAAGAATGCCTTATTATGGCAATTTTGAAGCCATGGTAATGGGGCTTCAAGTTTAGAGCCACAGGTCCTGATAGAAGATGTTCGTTTTTTACCATTTACTGCCTTTTGCATGTAGTGGCAGTATTTTCCAAAACAAACAGTGTTCCCGATCTGACAGTGTGTTTTTTGTTACTTCTAAGTTCAAGAGGTAATCTTGAATGTGGCTTAAACATCAAAATATTGATGCTTCTAGATGATTTTAGTGGCTTATGGGCCTAGAGGGGCCAAGTGTTCAAAATTAAATCTGCCTTGGAAAATAAAGGACATATCTTGTGAAAATGCAAACCTCGTGTTTGTTTTCAGGTTGTCCTTCTGTTGGTGTCTTGCCATTCCAGAGGTGCGGTGGATGTCTTATATGGAAGGTCTCTAAGCCTCTGCATGGAGGAATTCTCCTCTGTGAAGGAATACCACATTGCTACTGAAATTCTTTAGGGTCATTATCCATACACTCTCGTACACATTTACTTTCTTCCTCATTTAGTTCCATGCCTTCCTCATTGACCAGTTGATATAAAATAATTTCCCAAGTCATTATTGTAATAGTGATAATTATAGTGATTATTTGTTCAGGATATTTTACATTACTATAATTACCATACCTTAATATTACAAATATTAATGATAACTCTTTATCCATAATTGAGGATGGGCTCCACGTCAGAGACTCATATGAGAATCCGACTGGTCCCTCTGTGCTACTCCTTCACAGCACTAACCACAAGTGGAATCAAATCATTAAATGTGCAATAACTTGTTTAATGGCTGTCTCCACAGTGGCTTGCCTGCTTCTTGTGGGTAAGTAAGGTTCACACCTGCCTTGTTCACTGGGCTACCTCCGGTGCCAAGGACAGAGCCTTGGACTTGGGACGCTAAATAAACAGCCCACAAGTGGAATGAGGTTTGTTAAAGTGGCAAGCAGAGTGCTGGCACGTGATGCTTTCCCAGGCAGTGGTTCACAGGGAATTTTAACACCACTTTATATATATTAACTAATATTGCTCTCTTATGCCTATAATTAAAATATGAGGTCTTTTAAGATCATGAAGTTAGGAATACATCCTTATTGTGAAAAAAAAATACAGTCAGCGCTGATTACATAAAATGCAAAGGGAACGTTGCTATATTAGATTTGAATTTCCAACCCCTAATTGAAATTCCCTAACTTTTATCCATTGCAGGCAATTTCTCCCAAGGCTATTTAGAGACTAGGGAGAATATTTCCTCCCTAATTTATTTTTCTTCTTACTCCCCAATCGGGGTGTGTGTGTGTGTGTGTGTGTGTGTGTTTTAATCATTTGGAATGAAAATTTTTAGGAAGGAGGCAGGGCAAGGGAGAGGGTAATCAGCCTCCCCTCTGCCTCTTGGCTCTCAGTGGTTGAAGAAGGAGCCTCCTGCGAGTGGCCAGACAGGGACCCCAAGGCAGATGAAGGAAGAAGTCCAGAACTGGGTGCTTCTGGGGGAGTTCCTAGTGAGAGCACTCACCTCTTAGAGCCAGTGTCCTTTCCTCTGATGAGGGAAGGGGTAGCTGAATGTCTCAGGCCTACTACTGTAGGAGTTTCTGTCTAGATTTTTCATATTTTGTGTTCCATTTAGTATCCTAAATAAATTTCCATTGTATGCGCTCTCAGCTCCCAATTCATGCGTGACATTTTAGTTACTGGCCATCTCATCCATGTAGGTGGTTTGCAGAGGTGAACTCATTCTCTCTGTTTCATAAATAATAGAAATAAATTCATACTTAAACATATGCATATATCACAATCAATTCTCATAAACTATATTTCCACAGCATTTCCTAACCAGAGATGAAGTCATCATGAAGAGTTGTGGGTAATGAGAGGTGGGGTGTGGGCGCTTGGCAAGTGAAGGCTGTCTCTCCCTCACCTCTCCCCAGTCTTTGTGTGCACGATATAGCGCTCTCTCTGTGAGTCCTTCTGCTACATGCTTTCTCCGTCCAGTGCTGGGGTGTGACCAGTCATTCTTCTGTTAGTGCAAAGGTGTATTTGATTTTTTTCAAAGGGCTGAACTTTTTTTGTAGTGCAGATATACTGGTCCATAGTCCTTTATCCACAACTCAGAAATTCAAAAAGCTTAGAAAACCCCTAATTTTTTTTCCTTTTTAATAATTGAAATGGCAGCACAACCTAATCTTTGCTGAACTCATTTGGTGGCAAACCCTTACCTGAACTATCTTGAGGCTGTTTGGTTTTATTCCACTTGTGTTCATAATTTGTATGTTTTGTGGAAGAAATAGTAATGTATTTGATTATAGAGTGTGGCCTTGGACCTGCTGGGTTAGTCAAATACGGCCAATGTACACATTACTTTTCTAAACTATGAAAAGTTTGAATTCCAAGATATGCATGGTCTCCAGGGTTTAGAATAAGGGATTGGAAGACTGTTTGGACATTTAGGAAAAGATCAATTGTTGGGGATAGGTTTAAAACCATACTTTGTAAAAGTCACACTAGAAAAAAAATGATACCATGTTCCTATGGATCCTTTAGGAATTAGAGCCAGACATAGATGTGGACGTCACATTGTACAAACCTGGTTATTTATGACTTTCGATAGCCCTTAACCAGCAAGAGTGAGTTCTGTTGTCTCTGTATGTTTAATTTATTAAAGCTAAATTTTCAAGGCTGAATATTCTTCGGGATGGTTATATTAATCTGGGTTCTCAGAGAAGCAGATGCTGACAGAGGATTAAATATGCAAGGATTTTATTAGGGGAAATGCTTGTGAGAGAGAAAGTAGGGAACAGGGTGGGGAAATGCTTATGAGAGAGAAAATAGGGAGCAGGGAGAGTTATCGGACTGCAGTGCAAATGTGACCCCAAGGGAAGGAGGGGGAGAGGTTGGCTGGCGTGTCCTCCTTAAAGTGCTCTGTACTCTGAGAAGATCCATCAGAGGAGGCCTGCGTCTTCTGGGGAGACAGCCTGTGGGATGTGTGGTGAGGATTTCAGAGTACAGTAGCAGGGGTCTGTGGTGGCTTTCACTCCCTGTAGCTGGAGGTCTAAGAGGTGGGTTTCTGTGTTTCCAAACTATTGGCTGGTTTCCATGGCTTTCCTGATTGTAGCTGTGAAAACGATGGACCTGTATACTTGCTTCCTTGTGCGCAGAATGTTCAGAAGTTCAAATGGTCCCTGCATGCACGTGGTCTTTTTGGTCAGGATGAGCTTGTTGAAGGAGTTTAGTACACCAGTCAAAATGAGCAGGCCACGGTCACGAACGAAACCAACACCTCGGGCTAAAACAACAAATGTCTCTTTGTTCACACTGCTTGTCCATCTTGGAGTATGGGCTGGACGGTTGCAGGTATCTTTTCTCCATGTTCTCCTTACCCAGCGACCCAATGTGATAGAAACTTCACCATCTGGAAATGATATCTGTGGTCATGTCAGGGAGAACGAGGACCGGGAGGGACCCTAACCTGACTCCCAGGTGAGCAGTTTCCCTGCAGAGGGGCACTGGGGATAAGAGGCTCAGGACCAATCTGCGGGTGACAAAATAAGGCAGCAGGTATGGCTGGCATTTGGGGAAGTGTGGCGGTGAACCAAAAAACAGCAGAAAGGAAGGGGGTTCCGGAGAAGGAAGAGGGCTGAAGAAAACAGGGATACAAGGAACAAAGATCCTTGAGAGACCGTATCATCCTACTCACTACCCTAAAACCCGCCTAGACTACCTGAAAGAGATGACCGCTTTTCTTTTTCCCATGTGCGCCTGCCAGCTTTACCCTGGCCAGATCATTAAATGCACTTAAACGTTGTTAAAAAATATTGGGATTTTAAAGAATTGCTTTATTAACAAACCCAACACTTCTGACTCCTTGGGGATCTCTGTTCCCCTTTGATATCGTCCACTCTGCAGACTCTCCTGGTTCTCTAGTAGAGTCTGTGAGCAGCACGGACTTCACTTTCCCCTTCCTTCGCTGAATATGGGCGTGCATGGGTCTCCACCTTCCGCTGGACAACTCCGCGATCAACTGTGTGCTCCACATAGGTGGCCAGAAAATCCTCCACCACTGGAGGGATCTCTTGGCCTGAGGGACCTGCCCCGCTCCTCAGATTTAGAGTATCAAAGCCAGACTCCTGGCTTTCAGCCCAGGTTAGCTTAGCCCCTCCTCTGCAGGTGATCTTTTTGAAGACCTTTTGAACGTGGTGATCTGG